GATATAATGCATGTGAAAAAATGTTTTTCCTGGATTTAAAAAATGTCACCATGCTATGTATACTGTTCACTATTATCTGCAGCTTTCAGCATCCACGGGGGAGCTTGGAACCAGTCCCGAATGGATGAGGGTTCTACTTTACAAGACATTTTGGAAGTTACCCATTTGTAAGGACACCATAAGTCAAAGAAAACTTGATGGCATATAACAACAACAATTAGTAGTAGTGGAGGCCCCACCTAAGAGAGAGGATGGGAAAAGAGGGAAGATCAGTTGTCTGTTAGGACCTGCCTTGTCCAGTTCCAGATGAGTAGTATCTGTCTTCAGTGGGAGGGATCTGACATCTAATTGATTCAAAAGAGCAAATAGCCTGCAAAGGGAGGAGTCTTTGAATCTGTCCTAGAAGCCCAGAATGAGGTGCTAGAAACAGAAAGGCAGAGTAATTGCCTTCTTAGAGGTTTTTAGGTAGGCTATGGGTTTTTTGTATGCTTATTGTTTTAATTCTGTTTGCCCCTTTATGTTCCTTTTTGTACCCATCTAGAATAGTGGCTAGCTACTAGATAGGCGGGGTATAAATCCAATAAATGAATAAATAAACAGACAGACAGACAGACAGACAGACAGACAGGAACACACACAGTCCAGGCTTTCTTGCCCACTTATTGACCGGAGGCTTGGGGCAACATCAGCTGCTTGCTGCAGGACGGGTAGCTTTCTCTGCATGTGTCCCCGTCTGTATTTAACGACTCTTTAAATATTTAGGTGGTAGCAAAGCTGCTCAGGCTCTTTAATAAATCATGGTGGCCTGAAACTGCTTCTGTCTCTGAAGGTTGCTCCAGAGCAAGGTTTCGAGCTTTTTCTGCTACAGGTCATTGCAAGAGGCTAGAGAAGAAAGTGAATGTAGGGGAAGTAATTAGCCAAGGTTTCTCAAGTGGGAAGAGACCTAAAAAAATAGCCCCCCCACCTCCAGTTGGCTTGGTTTTGTCTCCTTTCTTCCATGCTGTGCCCTTAAGCAAGGATGAACAATGTGCAGTCCTCCAGATGTTATTAGCTTGCAACTTTTCCCAACCATAGTTAGAATAGGCAGTGGGGAGGGATGATGAGGATTGCATCTCTCAACGCTATCTGGATAACCCTGGTGAGAGACAGGAGGCGAGAATGGTAGCCCTCTTGCCGGAGTGCCGTCCCTCCTCCTTACAGCATGAGACAGGAGGCGAGAGTGGTAGCCCTCTTGCCAGAGTGCCATCCCTCCTCCTTACAGCAGAGAAGGAGGTACAAACCCATCCTGTCTCACCTCCCAAGAGAACAGAGCAGCAAGGGACAGAAACAGAAGAGATAGAAGGAGGAATACAAAAGCTAACCGTTGAAGGGACTCAGGGAAAAATGGCGGGAATGGAACGGAAGAAGTGGGTGGAGATAGAGGCGGGGACAGCGGATATAAAGAGGAGGGGAGACCAGTTACCGCCAGGTGGGGAGTGGGTCTGGATGGAGGATCCATGGACCGGAGTGTGGGAAAGGCTGAGAGTGCCTAAGGAGGAGGCTGATTATAGGAAAAGAAGGGACATCCCGCCACGACCGTCTTACTGGGGAGAGGCAGAAGCCAGGGAGTGGAGAAGAAAGTTGTGTGAAGAAAAGGGGGGGGGCTGGAATGGAGGGTGAACGAAATGAGGAGGAAGGGGTACCGGGAGGCCCCTGGAAGACCATCACACCTGAAGGATGTCCCGTGTAGGTTGAGGGCCGGGACAATGACACGGTGCCCCTGCTGGAAGGTGAAACGGGACAGATTGTGAACCGGAACTTCTCGGCAGATTGACCGGGTCCATGTAACTCTGGTGAAAGGAATCCGTTCTTGGACGAAGAATGGGAGCCCCTTCCCGACCCGTTGTCAGAAGGAGAAAGACGTTGGAATCATTTCGTTGACACTGGTTATTTGTTGAATACCCCAATAAATATCACACCTGTTTTCAAAACAGCAAAAATCTCCTGATTTCTTTGAACAAGGGAAGGAGCCTAAAGTCGAACCCTCCCACCTAGAATACGGCATAGAAAGTTAATTTTCTGGCCTACAGCTCATAAGAGCTATGCTGGCTGTGGGATTCTGAGAGGTGCATTAAAAAGTAACTTTTACACCCTATATCTAGAGACAGAGGTTGAAGAACAGTGGGCATTTCATCAGTCTTAACTCCACACCTTTCTGCCTGTTCCAAAAAAAAAACAAAAACCCTAACAACAACACCCACCTTTCTGCCTGTTCCAAAAAAAAAAAACCCTAACAACAACAGCCCACAGTATTCCTGCCATATTTTATTTTTCTGCTTTGCCCTTATTTGGCCTCTCTTTTGATTGTTAACACTGCGGTGATACAGGACGTATCCTCGCCTCCCTCCTGCTCTCCCATTTGTCAAAACACACATTAGAGGGCTTGATCGTGCACCACTCTGTCAGCCTAAGTGGAATTCGGCAACTTTGGGCAGTGCTTAGAGGAGATGCACACCCCAGTTCTACAGTGATTCTTGTCCTTCTTCATCCCGAGTCCCACCAAGGAAAAAGTTGCCCACGTAAGACTTTACCTCCTTTTAGATACCTGCTGTGTCAATTTTTTTAAAAAATTGAATTGCCCCAGCTCCACTGCAGAAGATTGCCGGGGAGGGGAGGCTCCATTGCAAATTTAGCTCCTTGGATATGAAAGCGAGAAGGGGCGAATGTTCCCAGGAAGCTTGCTGTGACTCAGCCTCAACTGGCAAGTAGGCGAAGGAAAAAGGAGCCCCTGCTGTGCACTGTGAATTTGGGAAAGGAGGGGGGACCTTTAGCTTGAGAGTCACAGGCATCAGTACGTCTGACCAACTGGTCATCTCTCCATTAATCCGGCAGACCTGAAAGTTCATACGTCCTCATGCCTGTGGGGTAGCCTGTTGGTTTCTGTCTCGTTTCAAGGAGCCAGCAAGAAAGATGGTGTGCATACACATGTGAGTGTGGGTATCCGGGACTGCTGCTGGAGTATACACGCCTTTGAAGGCTGCGCTGGCCACCCGGATTCATCCACTATGACCCTGGTGTCTGAAACTGGGCAAAAGGGGTATCCAAGCAACAGGCTAATAACATCTCATCTCTACTGATCTTGTTGCTTCCCTGAAATCTCCTTATGTGCCAGCCTGCCTTTTTGAAGGGGTGTGTGTGGCAGGAAAGATACTGAACGTTTCAGTGCTTTTAATATGGTCAAGGAGACTGGAAATAGAAGTCCCTGCTCATATCAGAGAAAAGCCAGTGTCACTCCCACCCAGAAGGCACCTGTGCTTAAACATCGCTGCCAGACCGATGAGCCATGCTGCTGGTGATTTGGCATAGATTCTCTTCTGACTTAAACTACACGTGCTTTCCTACTTTCCTAGTTCAAATCCCTCTAGTGCCGGGATCTCCAAACTACGGGCCACAGGCCACATCCGGCCCACCTTGCCTTTTTATCCAGCCTGGGCATAGGAAGAGGAAGGAAGGGGAACCCAAGCGATCCCCCCACTGTCTTTGCAAAGACAGTGTGGGTGGGGGCACTATCTTTGCAAAGACAGTGTGGGTGGGGGATTGCTTGGGTCCCCCTTCCCTCCTTCAGCTCTCGAAAATGTGTAAAACACTGTATATGATGTGGCCCTCACACTGAAAAGTTTGGAGACTTCTGCTCTAGTGTGTAGTTCTGACCAGAGACCATTCATTCTGGCAACGGTGGGGGTGGAATACTGTCCCAAGAGGAGGATTGAGAGGACATGTCTGTAGGAATAAATGCTGCAGCTCCTAGTAGTTGTTGCTATTGTTTAATTTCTCATTCATTTAATATAAGAAAAGCGGTATTGGAATAAACAGAGGGGGGAAATGCGTATGAAATTTTGCTTAGTAAACCAAGCCTGTTTTCAGGATCAAGTCTCAGCAGGCTTGTACCAGGACATCCCTCTCTTTTTTTTCCCACTCCACCTTTCAGAGGATGTTTTTATAAGACCTAGGGAATGTTGACTCATTTTCCCACCTGAGGCTGGAGCTGTTTTTGTTCTGTACCTGCAGTTTGACTGACAGGGAGCTCCTCTGAGCATGAACTCTCCTGTTTCTGCAGCTTCACCGCAGGCGGCTTCCATACCTCCGAGACTGGGCCTATAGTGGATGTGCTTCCCTCTCTTCTTGCTCTTTCTCTCCCTCTCTCTTCTCTGTAAAAGTATGGACCCCATGCCTGTTTTCATAAAAGGAAGTCTTAGTCATGCTGCTGACTTCCAAACCAAGTCTTTTGAATGTATAGTATTGCAGAGCTCCTTCTCTGCTTGGTTTCTCCCTGTACTGCTGTGTCTGTCGCTCTTCTCTGTAGAGGATTGGCCTCCCCTTGTTTTGCTACTGAAGAAGCCACTGGCAGGGGCATGCATGTCTCCAAGAGTCCTCTGTGCCTCTTAGGGTTAATTATTCCAGCCAGCTTTGACCCTTTTGTAGCTAGAAAGGCAGATTGGACACAAACTGAGTCTCAAGCTGGAGGAAGAATGGTGATGTTTATGTCTGTGCAACTATAGAGGATGGCCTGCTGCCTAGAAATTCAGAAGCAGCCAGGTAATAAGCAACCTGGGAACAAGGGTTTTTATTCCAAAATGTTTCTAGGTGAAAATACATTTTCCATGTGCAAACATATCCTACTCCAGAGAACTGTCAAAAGTGGGTGTCTGATTCTCTTCAAGGCACTGCTAACTGCTGTCTGATAAATTTCCCCAACAGGATTATCTCATGTACAACAAAATCAGAATAAAACAAAACAATTTATGTAACTCAGGGTGATTTCCACCTCCGTTGATCTCAAAGAAAAAATGGAGCCTGATTTTAAAATAATAAATAAATAGGTTATTGAGTTCAGCATATAGCCATTCTCTTTAAACATTGGGTTTAAAGTTTACGATAAGTTGTGGAAAATTGAGCTTGAACAGAAAGAACACGTGGTCTTTTCATCTGCAGACTAATTGTTTTGTATTTTTTACTTCCAGAATCCAGATTACCATGGTTTTGACTCAAATCCTGTTGTGGACTTGTGGAGTATGCGTATTTCCTTCTTCTGTGGCGTATCTATTATGTTTGTGTTGGGCTTCGCCTTTGTCGCCTATATGCCTCCAAAAGGGTAAGGTCTGTTTGAAAATCTCTCTTCCTAGCTGGGCCTCCTGGCCCCTGCATGGTGATTCTTGGTCAAGATGCTTTGAGACAGGTGGGTGAGCATATCCCCTAATGCAGTCTCTCTACGGGTGCAACCTTCCTCTTTCAGTACTAGCAGTACCTGAAGCAGAAGATATCAGGACATGAGAAACCCCATTTGTTCCTGTAGTTCACATCAGAATACAGGCCGGGTGTTTCTCTGTTGATCGGTCATGTGGGTTCTTTTTGCCCCTGTGCAAAACTCCCTTGGAACATTCCAGAGCATAGAACTCCATTAGGTTGACTCCTTGCCATGCGCACCCTCCCACACCTTGCATTGAGTCCTCCTTTCCCTTTCAGCTGCCACTAAGGAAACACTTACCAAGTGTTCTAGAGCCTCTTCTAAATACAGTGGTACCTCGCTAAACGATGGCCCTGCTAAACGATGAGTCCACATAACGATGACTTTTTGCAATCGCTATAGCAATTCGCAAAACAGTCATTCCAATGGGCGATTTTCACTTGACGACAATTTGGTGCGTGCACGAACCGTTTGTTCGCAAGAAAACGATTTTTACAGCTGACTGGCAGCTTCACAAAATGGATGCCCTGTGTTTTCCAGACCCATGCTTAGCAGGACAGCCATTTTTACAGCTGATCAGCGCTTTGCAAAATGGCTGCCCTATGGGCAATCTTCGCAAAACAATGAGGTATTTTCCCCATTGGAACGCATTAAACAGGTCTCGATGCATTCCAATGGGGAAATGGTTTTCGCACGACAATGATTTTGCTAAACAGCAATTTTCACAGGAAGGATTATCGTTGTCATGCGAGGCACCACTGTATATATAACTTCTCTGTTGTTGTCCATCTTCTCCCTCCCCTTAACCGTCTTCATTGGTTTTCCTTTTTAAAAATTGATATTTGTCAGCCCATTCAAAAAGTATGCCATCTGCACTAACAGGATGCCCCTCACCAACAGACACTCAAAGAACCTTTGATGATGGGCATCAGAAACAAAATTGCCAGATTTGTCACAAATTCATGAAAAGTGTGTAAAGAACCGCAAATCTTGAATTAAGTTTTATTTGTGAGAGAAATCTCTGCAAGCTGGTGACACCATCTCCAAGCAAACAATAACCCCAGTTTTTGCCCTTACTATCTGTAAGGCCCCTTGTAAATAGCATATACTTAGGAGGCAATCCAGCCCAAAGCTATGACTGGCTCTCAGAATGATCCAGCTTCTCCAGAGATAGTTTATGCCACAAACATCTTCCCTTGATATTGTGGACAGGCCCATTGACAGCCAGCTCACTGTTGACCATCATGACAAAGAAGAGGAAGAAGCCTGCAGATCCTGAGAGCTACAAGAACAAAAGGCCGAAGCTGAAACCAAAGAAGTCTAAAGAATCTCAGGCCCTGAGTGCAACTTCACTGCAAACTAAAAAGTAGGACAGCCTTAGCTATTTGGGATTGGCTTCAGAGGAAGATTTGAACACATCTCAAAATTGAATGTCCTCACCAGCTTTTAGCCACTGTCTAGAGTGGAGCTACCTAACTCAGCAAACCTTGCTCTGTCCTGTACACGGGGGCCCTGTCAATGCACAGCTGAGCAAAACAGCATGTGAACAACCTCAGTCCCTTTGCTCTTCTTCAGGAATGGCTTCCACAGTACAGAAAAGAACTTCTCTGCCTTGAAAGAGCCAGCAAAAGCACATAATGCTTGCAGCCCTTGATGTTGGTCAAGTGTAGAGATGGGGGTATTCGTATACGAATACGAATATTCCCGCACAGGTGGAAATAACGAGGGTCCGGCCCCATGGGGCCAGACCGTCCATTCACGATTTCACCACTGCCACCGGCTCCGTGGTGCCTTCCTATCGCTGTGTTCTCCGCAATGGATTAGCCACTCTCCGACCTAGCAGAGAGGTTTGTCATCCTACCTCCTGCCAGGACTGGGTAATCGATTGTGGACAACAGTGCAATAGGAAGCCTCCGCGGAGCCGGCAGCAGGGCCAAAATTGTGAGTGGACAGTCTGGCCCTATGGGGCCAGATCCTCGTTATTTCCACCTGTGCAGGGATATTCGAATACGAATACCCCCATCTTTAGTCAAGTGTTATGGGCCGGATGTCACAGCCAAACTTCATGCAGCTTTCGACAGATCAGTAATCTCTTTTGTGTTGCGGTGACATCCCACAAGCCAGTAAGTGAGCTTGCCAGTCATCCACATGCGTGATTCACAGAGACCACAAAGAAGAAAGACCAGTTGCTTACCTGTAATTGTCATTCTTCAAGAGGTCATCTGTGAATTCACACAATTTATCCATTCTCCCCTGAGTCTGCAGCACACATTTATTGTTTTTCTGTCAGTCGTGGATTGAGGGACCTGAGGATTCAGCACAAGGAGGGGGAGCATGTACAGTTCAGAAAGTCAACCTAATGAACTTTTTGGCTCTGTAATGTTCCAAGGAAATTTCATGCAAATGCAAAAGGAACCTACATGTGAGAATTCACAAATGACCATTGGCAGTTACAGGTAAGCAACTTGTCTTTGCTTCTCCCCCTTCCTTGCATGGGGAAGAGAGAGGAAGAGGAAAACCTGGAATTAAATCCCTCTCTGTCTCTGATCAGATACTGCAGGGACTATGTAGGGGAGATGGAGGGATGTCGCCCACAGAAGGAGCAGGGCCTGCCTGCTGGACCTTGTAGGCAAGGTGGAAATCTCCACAGGCCTGGTTAGGCTTACAGGCCAGAGCTGATGTCCTCTCGTACGCTGAACAAATATTCTGCCAGGATTATATGTCATAATGTGTTCAAGGTAGTGCTTTTCTTTCTTTCTTTCTTTCTTTCTTTCTTTCTTTCTTTCTTTCTTTCTTTCTTTCTTTCTTTCTTTCTTTCTTTCTTTCTTTCTTTCTGTCAGAGTATTGCAGTTTAAAATTATAGATATAAATGAAATATAGGCAAAATTAAAAACAAATTAAAATGTTAAAATAATTGGACTGTTTTTGACCAGAAGCAGGGCTACTTCAATATGGTTCATCATTTACTAGATCTTCTTTTGTATATGGTGGGGCATAAATTGCATGCCCATAAGTGCTGCATTGATTGCATTTCTCCACAGTCATGGAGAACTTGTCCTATATCCGAAGTAGCCTCATTTTACTTGATTATTCTTTGATGCTCCTTCCAGAGTGTCTAGCTAGAATCTTGTTGTCCGGGGGTGTGGGGGAGAGACACTCTTCAGCATTCATCCTTTCAGCAAGGTGCATTGTCTTTTCTCTCCATAGGTTTAGCATAGCCTCTTCTAGTTTAATATTTAGAACTTCAGATGGATTCAGAAAACTTTTCCTCAATTTTAGGCATCATTTAGGGGGTCAGTGTCCATGAGGTGGATGGGTTTGGTGCTATATTACCTTTATCGTTCAATATTTGATAGCAACTCTCAACATACTTTTAGAGGGACAATGCCGGCCAAATAACAGACTTTTTAAATGTAGATAAAAGTGTTTTAGTAGTGATATGAGCATGCTGTGAAACATTCACAGACGATTTATTGAACCACAAAAGTGTCTAGAAATCTATTTGCAGGGAATTATCTTTAGAGCTAAAAGGGTCAATTTTCCCTTAATTCTAAGAGTTTAGCTACATATACTTGGAGAAGGAATTTTCATGTACTTGGAAAAAGTGCTAATGTTCTCAAGCAAAGTATGATTGCCCTTGTTTATTCCTTTGTGTTCCTATTGTATGAACTATTTAGGCACTTCTAAGTCATCATACTGCATTTTTTAAGAGGTATTTCATGGGACAAGAGTTTTACATGTTTATGGAAGGTTTCAGTGTTTTTAGAATGCAATTTCTTTCTAATTTATGTATATGATTAAAGTAATAATAATTGTCTACTTCATCAATGGCAGAGTATTATCCAGAATATTTTAAATGGAAGATGACATCTTGGGCTACCTTCCTGCAGAAAGGCTGTGCAGCCTGAAACACACCAGGATTAATGAATGCAATCTTCTACATACCTCTAGTAGTCTGTGTTGCACTTGTGTTTTGGAGCTGTCACATCATTGTGTGTCCTTTTTCTGATGAGGCCAGGGTCCTGCTTTGAGGAGATCAGAGGGAAAGGTTTAGCAAAGAAATAGAAGCAATTACGGAGAAAGAAAAAAACAGAAGCCTTGAATCCACTGCTTGTAGGGGGCCTTCAGTCCTTATGAGGTCCTGGTGGATATGACTGACAAGAAGCTGTCACATAAGCTTCCTTCTCCAGCAGAGAACAGCAATGATGCTTCTAAAGTAAACCTGGTTTGTGCTCTCTTTGATGCACATGTCTGCTGCTACTGGGTCTGCTGTGCCCATGACCCTCTTGTTGTCCCAGTCCTGAAACAGCTGCATACAAGGTGGATTTGATATAAATCAAGAATTCAGTTTTTAAAAATCAGATCTCTTGATGATTTAAATAAAAAATGGTTTTAAGTTGTGAATTAAATTTGATCTTTAAAAATATCATTGATATTTATCCACCGTGGCTGCATACAGTTCCATGCCCATGAAGTGTTGCTAGGCATACTTGTGCCTTGTATAGGCAGAACTTCATTTTGGTGCCTTTTGTACATTGCTGCAGTTCCGTGCAAAGCTTGGAGATGGTTTCCTTACCTTATGTACAGTCCGCTATATCCTTGCACAGACAATGATTAAAGTGCACACAGCTCCGTTCTTTGCAAGGTCGTTTAAATATTATATACCTTTAAATAGTTTATTATCTCTGATAAGTGCTCGGAGATGACAACTGAAGAAGTTGAGGGGCTTCTTCCGCTGATATCTTCAATCAGTTATCAGAGATAAAAAATTCCCATCCCTGTCTGTTTGGTTCTCTGGACCATCGGTTGGAGGCTCCCCATCCCTGTCTTAACCCAATCCACCATGTTGCTGGATTTGGCCAATATTTTGCTTGCCGTATCTGTGTTTGTATTATTCTGAGGCATCA